GAAGGGAGGCGTAATACACTGTTATTAAACGCCCACATAGACCATAGAAAAATAAGCAAAACTTCCTATTGAGTCATTAGCTTCCAATTTACATAGGGCCCACCACAATTTAACAAGAAAGACTTCTTCAGTCTCAGTTCTTAAAGTCGCTTCACACGGCAGCCCCTCCTGCAGGCCCTTTCCATGTTGAATGCTCTTCTCTTCCCTCTGGGACCTCCCTGTTGTTCATTTCCCTCCTGTTCCTTTCTGAATGGGTGATGGGGAGAGTCATCCAAGGATCTTTGATAATACAATCAGACTTTTCATGCTCCCAAAATAGCCTTCTGTCTTAGTCTGTTCAGGTCACTATAACAAAATACCATCGAATGGGTAGCTTATAAACAACAGACATTTATTCCTCACAGTTCTGGAGGCTGGAAGTCCAAGATTAAGGTGCCGGTAAATTGAGTGTCTAGTGAGAGCTTGCCTCTAGTTCAGAGACAGCCTCTTTTTGCTACAACTTCATATGCCAGAAGGAGTGAGGGAGCTCTCTGGGGTCTTTTTGATAAGGTCGCTAAGCCATTCACGAGGCCTCCACCCTCACAACCTAATCCCCTCCCAAAGGCCCCACCTCCTAACACCATCACCTTGGGGGTTGGGATTTCAATACATGAATTTGGGGGAACGCAAACATTCAGTCTCTAGAGCCTTCCTCTTGGCCTGCTCTCTTGAGCGTTATCATGCTGCAAGAGTCTCAGTCTCTGTCATCACCTTGAGTTGCCATAAAAATGCTCCTTTATTATCCTGGATTTGGAATGTGCCAGATTCCAGGAAGGGAGGAAAACAAAATCTATTATTCTATACCTGGAAGGTTCTTGGTCTTCTACCTCACCTGATTAAATTGGGCACCACATCCTCCAATAGCGCTCTGCCTGCATCTTCATCAGCACCCCACCTGCATCTCCATTAGCCCCTGCTTGCACCTCCATCAGCACCTGCCTGCATCTCCATCAGCACTCTGTTTGCATCTCCATCCTACCATACTGTAATCTTGCAATTGTATTTGCTTGTCTGTCTTTCCATTAGATTAGAAGTTCCCTGAGGACAGGGGTCACCTCTCAGAAGTATCCACATCACCAGTGCATACTGCAGTGCTTGGTTATGCGGATACTCAATAAATTTTTGTTGAATACATGAAAACCTAGTTCATTTTCTTCAAAGCCTAAATCTGGTTGTGGGGTGATAATAGCAGTGATGGAATTTGATTTAAGAGTAAAGTTCTGGAGCCAGCCCCGTAGCCGAGTGGTTGAGTTAGTGCACTCTGCTGCGGTGGCCTGGGGTTTCGCTGGTTCAGATCCTGGGCACAGACATGGCACCACTCGTCAAGCCATCCTGAGGCGGCATCCCACACGCTACAACTAGAAGGACCCACAACTAAAACTATACAACTATGTACCAGGGGGCTTTGGGGAGAAAAAGGAAAACTAAAATCTTTAAAAAAAAAAAAAAAGAGTAAAGTTCTTTGAAGTGGTCCTGAGGTACGTGCTGATAAAAGATAATACTCTGATTAAGATCAAACCATTTTTTTCAAGAACTATATTGGGAAGATGAGGTTAGTGATTTATGACTGTTTTACAAGGAAGAACTGATAACGGAAGAAATGTTGAGGTCCTTTATTTCCCAAAAGAAAACTTGGATAACTATTTTTATCATACGACTCTATGGCATCTCTGTCATTCTGGCAGAACTTTGTTATCTTTTACCGGAAAATGACAGTCATACTGTGTCTTATCAGCACCGTCCCCTCTTACAGTGACGGGGAGGGAAAAGCTTCCTTGGGAGGAAAGGAGTTGACTGAGACGACTGATGACAGCGATCATGAATTAAGGAGGCTGCTATTAAAATGCAGCTCTCCAGGACAACTGATTCTGTGACCCTTGAACTATCCGTGAACTTGTAGGAGGCTCATGTTATATATTTGCGTGTCTGTCTTTCCATTAGGCTGGGAGTTCCTTCAGGGCAGCCATCACTTCCATGTATCCATGTCTCCAGTGCGTGAAACAGTGCTTGATCGTGTATGTGCTCCATAAACTTTTGTTGAATAGATGAGAACCTAATTCATTTTCTTCGAGGCCTAAATCTAGTTGTGGGGTGATGGTGGCAGTAATTGGACCGGGTTGAACTGCATTGTGGGAGTTCCCAGAGGGTTACATCTTTGCGGTGGGAGTGCCCTGGGCTATAGCCCACTTAAGATGTTTTTTCCTAAAATGAATCCTGCAACAGTGTTCACCATTCTCCCACTTGAATACACAAAGGGACGTTTGTCTGTTGAGTATCTTCCCTATGCATATGTGCTACAAGAAACGCGGGGGAAATTGTTCCTATCCCCCCAAAACTGATAATCCATTTGAGAGATAAAACAGAGACCAGCACAAGATAGCATAAAATAAAATGCGTTACAGACCACGCGTCTCATCTGAAATGCTTCCCACAGCGGCCTCTCAGCTTTGCACATGGGCAGACTCATTGGTCAGTGGTGCCCCGCAGTTTGTGGGGTGTACACAAATCCCCATGCCCCTGCTGCAGGGCCCGAAGCTCCTCCCTGAAAATTTAATGATTTTAGAACCTCTTTGACACTCAGAAATATTCTTTGAAAACATCAACATCCCAAAGATAAGTCACTCAAAGGCCTGCAGCCAGTTGCCTGTCAGATTTCTTCCAACTGGGTCAGCCGGGTGAGAGAGGTGCAGATCAGTGACGAGTGTGACGGGTGAGCTGGAGGGTGCACTCTACACGAGGCCTATGGATGGAGAGGCCTCAGTGAACCCTCACTCTAAGGGGTCTCACGTAGACAACGGGATCGAGGTCCAGAACAGGCCGGGTGTGGGGAAAGAGACTGACAAAGAAGAAGTAAGCGGGCACAGGCTGCGTGTTTCCTACTTTGCAAATGTACCAAGGCTCTTTCTTTCTCACCTGCCTTTACCTTTCCGCGGAGGCTCTCTGAGGCCAGGCCTGTGAAGCCCTGCTGGAGATCCCCGGCATCATTTCTTCTCTATGGATTGCATCGATTGGTCTTCTCTGCTGTGGCTACTGCAGCATCTGGTCAAGCTGCTCCTCTCACCACTTCAGAGGCCGTGCCAGGGAGCTGCAGGCCCCAGGGATGCAGGGAAGGTAGTTCGCGTTGAGGGGGGGCACCTGTGGAGCGCACACATCTGCAGAACAAATGGCTACTGGCCCTACGGACCTCTCTGCTCACAGCGCCTGTTTGGGATAAGGGCTTCTCTGCTGTGCAAGGGAGACCCATCCCGTCTTCCTCGAGTATATTTCCAGGATTTGCTGCCCAGACACAGCCCTTCAGCAGGTGCCAGAATCCTCTAGTTTCTGACCAGCTTCTCTTTCTCTTCTGCAACACGTTCCGGTGGGGAGCGTGATTTCTGGAGCAGCCCCCCTGGGTTTGAGCCCAGGCTCTGTCACTTCCTAGCTGAGTGATCTTGGGCCTCAGTTTCCTCATCTGTGCAAGAGGAACAGTAATAACACCCCTCTCATCAAGCTACATGTGAAGAGCTTAGCAACATTTCTGGCACATAGGCAGTATATACACACAGAGGAAGCACAAAATAAGTGTCTGCTACCGTTACCACCTCTGTGACAACTCCAATTCAGCATCGAATCAGCAGGCATTCATTAAGAAGCTACTTTGTGCCCACCAGTGCGCTGGGAACAAAACACTCCACTAAGATGAAAAATGATCATGATGAAACCGTGACTTTCACTTTTGAGTGCTTATTTTGCGCCAGGCAGCGTGCTAAAGATTTTCAATGACTTGCGTTATCTTCTTCACTCTTCCAAACCAACGAGGAAGCGAGGGATGGCACACACTCTCAGAATCTCCATTTTGCAGACTCTTTGCACAAAGCCCCACTTGCTCCCCTTGAGTTGCAGAGTCTTCCCCAGAGCCGGGAGCCATCTATTTCATCCCAGCACACCGTCCTGCCCCCACCTTCCTGCCATCCAGTGAAGCAGCGACGCCTCCTCCATCTACTCTTGAATCTTCCACCAGCTTGCTTTCCTGCCTCCCCTACCACTCCATCTGATACATCTAGATATGGCTTCTTGTTTCACTTATGAAAAGCCATTTCCTGTCACCTCTTCAAAGACTGCGTCTTTCCCACTGACAGTCTCTAAGGAGGAGCAGAAAGCAACAGCGAGCCCTCCACGTCAGCAGAACGAGGAAGAACCTGCTGCTCCTCCAGCCACACCTGAGGCCTCTGCCCCTCCGGGAGCCCGTCCCTTCATGTTTGTCTTCGGGGTGTTACTGTTTTGGTGAGCAGTATGCGAATTGGTTTTTAACACCAGCTTTCTGGTCTAGCCTTTGAGATAGGAAAAAGATGAAAATAAACATGTTTCCACATTTTAGGGCAGAGCCCCCAGTCTGTGGTTTCCCGGGCTCTGTTGTGCCATTCAGAACTTCAAGTACTTCAGCCCCATAGGCTGCAATTTTCCTTATTTGCTAACCTGGTGATCAAATTTTTTTTTAAAAAAATGGTTTCCTTAGAACCATTTGATTTTGATTTTACTGAAACTTGTGTGGTTAAAAACATTCTTATACTAATAACTATGTGACCTTTAAGATACTTAGCAGGAAAAAAAATCTCATAAGAATAGAACCTTGTTACCCCACCCAGTCTCCTCTGACTTCAGAAATGGAGACCTTTGAATTTATCCTCTCCCTGCCTTCACCTGGACTCTCCTCCAAATCGCTCTTTTCTCCTCTTCCCACTTCAAGAGGCACTCTGGGCCACTGTCCCATTGTGGAAATGGTAGTTACTGGTCAACAAGGACTTGTCTGGGCTTCAGACCTCGCCTGGCCACCTTTGTCCCTCAGCCTGAGCCCTTGGGACGTGAGGATGGAGCAGCAGTGCTGTGGGAGCAGCGACCACAGACTCGCCCTCCACAGCTGAAAATCGACATTTAAACAGAAATCACACCAGAATTAAACAAGATAGATCATTTCTCTCTGATATGCACATAGATTAAAATCTCATAACTTGGTGTCCTTGGAAAAATGCAGAGTCCCAGGTGTCAAAACCACTGTTTGAAAGAGGTATGGACATCTTGAGGGTTGTGGTTGTTCACAATGAGGAACATGAATTCACAACGTGTTCCTCTTTCTCGCTGCTTATCCGAGCATGGGTTTTTTGCTTTTCTGATTCGTCTGTGGTAGCTTTGAGTCAGGAATAAAAGTAGAAAAATTGCTCAGGGAAATAATCATGGCTTTTAACTACATCATGACAAACTGCCTTCACTGATGTCATTCCATAAATTGACCGGTGTCATCTTGTCCTGTTGTCATAGGGACAGGGACACACTTGCAGACTGATATGGCCTTTGCTTGTGTCCAATTCAACCCCAGTGCATTAGCCCAAGGAAACTGACGGTGGGGATTTCCTGAGTCCTGAGCCAGAGTTTCCAGCATGTCATTTTCCAATTATGCAGCGTTTTCTACTCTGGTCATGGTTCTTCAACTAAATGATAAAAACAAAAATAGCTAAGATTTTTGTTACTCAAAATGTTACTCAGTTACCTGCGGTTTCTAGTGTCCCTCAACTCACCGAAGATCAGTTCCCCAGGTTCATGATTCCAGTTCCCCTGATGTTTTCAGTGCCTTGTGCCCTCGATGTCTATCACTCAGTGCATAGCACTGTCAGTGAATGAAAAAGTGAACTCAGACTGTTAGAAATGGTCTTGCCAAACCCATTGGGAGATTAATCATGTGCCATTAATTAGAAACAAGAAAAAGGAAAGGCTGCAAAGTTATGGAGTTACACATGCACAGATCTAGGAGGCTCTTGGAAATTAAATTAGTTCAATGATCCTAGGACTAAATGAGGGCTACGCTTCCCTCCCCCCAAAAATAATTTTGGAAATGTGCTTGGGCAGCTTTGACTGTCACAGTGATTCCAAAGATTCTACTGGAATTTCACGGGTGAGAGCCCAGGGCGTTAGAAGTCCTGCACTGCACGAGGCAGTCGTCTGCAATGAATTGCCCCATGTCGCATGTAACTTACGTATGTTGTCTCCCTTAACTTATGCAATGATCCTATGGGTACCGCTTTTATCCCCATGGGACAAACTATCCTGAAGGTTAGTGGAGAAGCTTATCCTTTGTAATTGCTTGAAACTCTTTATTCCTAGAATTGATCCTTCTGTTTCAACACACCTGGACAGTGTTCCTCTTTCAATTCCTCTGGCTTGTTCACATCCCCATGGGGCACGTAAAGGCCTCTCTAGAGACTTTTACTGCAACATTTAGATGATTCACCACCTAAGAAAGTGAGAAATCATTTCGGATACCAGAAAGCTCCTAGAAAGTCTCAAAGATTAATTACTCACGTTATTTTCAAATGCAAAGAAAAGATAAAATCTGAGAAAATTCTTTGAAAGTTCATGTAAAGCTCACAATTGTGTGAAGGTAATTTTGAGCCGTTATCCTATTGAGATGCACTGAGTACACCTTTGTGAGGCTCCAGGAACGTTCTTTCCACTTCCCACTTCTTTTTAAATCACAAAGTGCAATCTTATGAGATACAAAAGGTTCATTTTTCCTCTACCACTTAAAACATCACTATTTTCTTTACTGCATGTGTATGTGAAATATATAGGCTATGCCTTAGTAGGCTTTTTTTCTTTGTGAGTGGTAGGATTTAAGCATTGAATAAGTAATTGACCTGAAGGTAAATTGTTTTCATGGGAGCATATATGTTAGGACACATACTGAGTTCTATTTGGTTTAACCAGCAAATAATGCACATCATTGTGGTCTTTGAATGCTTACAATGGAAAAGTTTTCTCATTTCCTGAGTTTTGGGAAGGAGCACTGTGTCAAGGTGGTTAATTAACAGATTCTATACCTATGGTCAAGTGTAAGTGCTATAAAGCTACGTAAGCGTGAAAAAGAGAAAAAGAATGGAATCTAGTCCCCAACATGTATCTTAATGACCAAGCATTGTAACTAAACTGAACCGGGCAATTGCTAGATCAGCAACTGGTAAAGACTCCCATTGAACTGACTGGTCCTCTTCTCACCTCTCCCATGAGGCATGAGCTTGATGGGGCACCCTTGCCTCAGATGGTTGAGCTTGCTTTTCCCTTGAATCAGCTTACTTCACTTCCCCACGTTTGAAGTCTATCCTACTGAGACTTGTTTGTTTATTTTATGTCATCTGCTCTTCAAAGCTAAGACAACTCTTGCTCGACCAGTCTGAGATAAAGCAGGACCACCCACACAACCGGGTAACACTACCTGCTCCCTTGTATTTGTTCAGCATTTTTTTGAAGTTTTCCGTGATACACAATATTGGCTCATTTCCCCTGTACCCGAAGGCCTACATTATAGATCATTTATGCACTGGGTCCCGCTAGCCCACCAACAGATGCCTTCACTTTTAGAAAGATTCTCAGCAGTCTAGGCAAAATCCTCGGAAAACTTGAGCAGCAAAGAGGATTAGCATACAGGTAAAGGCTCAGAAGTAAACGTTTGGATGCTGAGGTGGCCTAGGCCCCAGTGAATATGCTAATAACTGGTGCTTCCTAGAGAGCGGAAAGATCACCTTCTTAAAGGTTAATGATGTGCAAAAAAGTCTAAGCATCTGCTGGTGGGTGACCCCAAGCAGGATGGATGACAAGAGACAAACTCATAAACATTGCTGTTGGATTCTACCAAAACCACACTCCAGCTCACAAAAGCTTCTATCAGGCATAAGAATGATCATATTTCTATGCATAATTTAGCTGTTGCTTGCTATCCTTTTTTTTCTATCTACTAATAAACGCCTTGATGCACCCAAGGCGGTGTGTGTAAATTACGTGAACAGAAATTTCAGTTTTCATTTTTCATTAACCATTGATATCATTTCTCTTCTGATTAAAGGGCAAGTGCACTATTCCTATTCTTGCGTACTTGTTCATCACACTATTCGGAAACTGCTGCTGTGACAATAAAGAAGAAGAATGTCAACCATATTGGTTAAAATGTAAACATAAACATAAAACAAAATCACACCCTAGTGTTTGGTGAGACATGAATAGATTTTTCTAGCCTGAAATAGAGCTGTTTTCCCAGAATCCCTCAGGAAAATATCCCTCAGAGAAACGCTATTTGTGTGAGTCTAGTTGATGGATGGCCACTCTGCTCAAGCAGAGGCTGGATGACCTGCAGCCGTGATCCTCTCAGAGCTGTGATCCCAGAGCTCACCAGCTTCTCCTCCATCACCCCAACGCTTTCTCTCTCAAGTTGTTTGTCTACATCATAAATCTTTTTTACTTTTTAACATTCTAGTCTTTTGAAACTCAGGTGGAGACTGGTTTTTCTCCATTTTCCATTGTTACATCACTTCTCCATGACAGCAAGCACAGAACGGTCTGTTTCAATGGGAGGGAAGGTCCAAGTTCAAACCGATACTGAGAAAACACGAGTTAAAAATTCAAAACAATTCCACTACACATTCTTAACACAAACCACAAAATACTTCCTAAGGCAAATTTGGCAAGTAAGAGCTGACATGTTTTAAAGAAATTCAAGAAATTAGACTTTGATCTTTTAAGCCCCAAAGAAACTCAAGGAATCAAAAAATCTGCTATATTTCTTCGTCTTATACAGTTCATGAATCTTGGCAACCAGAACATTATAAGGCTCCTTCCAAGAACGGCATTAGCATCAAACTATCTCACATTTACATAGAATTTTGCAATGCACAGTCACCAACATTGTTATTTGATCCTCCCAACACCTTTTGAGTTAGTCAAGGTCACACAGCTGGTGAGTGACAGTGCCAGGTCTTCAAAAATACTTGGAATTTCTGAAAAATGAGAGCTCCAAGAAGAATCATAACCTCAGTCAAATAGACTTTTTATCCCAACATGGCTATTGATTCATTTGGACTTCTTACAAGGCTCTTCACAATTCATGCTTCTTTTCCCATCCAGTCTGCGCTGTTGGCTCTCTCTCTCAGCCTTTCCCAGCTCTCCGTGGTTTCAGTCGCAGCCTGTTGTCCCCCAGGGCTTGAGCCAGTGCTGACATGGCCAGGACATAATAGTCACGTCATTTTTACATCCACAGAAGGTTAGTGGGGATCTGGTGCAAAAAGGAGTTCTGACACCCTTTTGACCTCTCAAGCCACAAGACTACCCGCCCCTTCATCTTCCCGAGTTGTTGCAGGGCACTTGGCCGGATTGCCTGATCAGTACCCTGATCCCCCTCACTCTCGTGCCAGCTCCCTGCTCAGGACTAGATGCTTCTACAGAGACCTAGCTCACCACTGGGGTCTGGCCTTTCGTGGACGGATCTCTGAAAATCACACTCGCCACATCTGTCCCCAAGCTTTGGATTTCAGTCTAGATGCCTCTACCCTCCCTCTCAAAGCGGCCATATCAGAGCAGAATTGACTTCCAGAATGCTCTGCACCTTCCTGGCCCAAACCCCTGAAGCTAGGTCAGTTTTATAAGCTGTATACACCCCAGTCTCACAGTTCACTTCTCTCTGGTGCTGCCAAGACATGAGACCTCACAAAACTTACATGTTCGCCTAAGTAATGGTACATGATGCCAATGAAACCACAACTAAAACAAAACAAAATCAATGGCTTCTGACTGACTGACTTCCTTTGCTATTTGCTTCCTCTCTCTATTCTTCTAGAAGTAGAAGATTCTTCAGGTCAAGAAAAACTAAAGAGAACTTGTCATAGTGGGAAAACTAATGACAAGATTCTTTGATTTATGGAACAAAAACAGCAATAATAATAATAATAATAATAGTTACTATTTACAGAGTGTTTTCTCTCTTCCAAGCATTTTACATGCATTTTTGAAATTTAATCCTCACAGTAACCTGATGGTCCCTATTTTACAGATGAAAGAAAAGAGGTTTGAAGACAGTAAATAACATTCTCAAAGTTTTGCAGCTAAAAAAATCTAGGTCTAACTGAATCTGAAACTGAACAAGCACATGTTCACGCATTGCTCATTAGTATTTTTTTACACCACCCCTTTACACATCCTTGGGGGTGGCCATACCCAGGATGTCAATGGTTCTCTGATGTGGCTTTATATCTGCAGCTCGGATGGTGATGGCACTTTCACCTTCGATCCTTCATCACCATCTGACCGAAAGAAGCGCCGTCATGGGGCTACCAGATTCTCATTCTAGGTAAAGAGAGCAGGAGAAGAAGCCTTTGTGTATTCTCCTGTGAGCACAATGGGGTTCAGGACATGCCACCTCACACTATGGCACCTGGATATACTGAATATTTCAAGCTGAAGGAATTTGAGAAAAGGCATGTGCGGGAAGGAGCTTCCCGCCTTCTCCTGCAGGAGCCATAAAACCTCGTCTCCAGAGGAAAGGAGTGTCTTTGTTCCTGAGACAAGGGCCTCGGGGGTGAAGCTGAACAGCAGGTTTTGCCACGTTTCCCCCAGTTTTCTACACTTAGCTCACCTTCGTCCTGTCATAGCTTTCCATGACTTTCCACTCTTCACCAAATCTAGCATAAAAGCACTCAGGTTTAACCACTTCTTCGAGTCTTCGTCTCCTCATGGGGGATCCCTGTGTCACATAAAATTTAAATACATTTGTATGCTTTTCTCTTGCTAGACTGTCTTTTGTCACAAGGGTCCCAGTCAAGACCTCAGAAGCGTAGAGAAAAAAGATATTTGTCCTCCCCTACAAGCACTCAGATGCCAATTCCATTCCAGACATGCCGAGATTGCCTCAGCCATCTCCAATTCTTTCAAATCGCTATCCATTCAGTGTAGCTGTTTAACGATGTCTCACACAAAAAGCTATCATGAAAAATAAATGAAGATAATAAAACCAAATGAGCATTAATTCTCATTTGTTGGAATGTGTTATTTGGAGGAGCTAAGCTCTATGTCTGGATTGGAACACGTCAAAAATAAACCCCACACATCAACACGGGAGTCAGAGGTCATAGGCAGGCTGATATCCAGGTCTCACTGAGAACTGGAACTATCTCTACCCACATAGCTTAACTAGCAGAACTGAGACCGGAGGCCACCTGAGTCAAGGTGACTTTACTGTTTGTTCCAGGAAATTCTTTCCCAGGAAAATAATACTATAAACCGGTAAATAACTTCACTGTTTGCTTCAGGAAATTATCTTTTTTCTAATTAATTTTATTGGGATTACAATGGTTTACAACATTGTGTAACTTCAGGTGTACATTATTGTTTATCAGTTCCTGAATATACTTCATTGTGCTCACCCCCAGTGCTTCAGGAAGTTGTTGAAAATCAATTTATCTAAAAATTAGTTTGCTTAGTTGGACAAGCAGTCTCCTTCTCAGGACAATATGTTGCTCACCTGAATAAATAGATTATTAAATAACAACTTATATATCAAGACTTCCTTCAAGAACCTTGCCTCACTGCTTCCACTAGACAGAAACTACTAAAACTCAAAATTTGCCAAGCTTAGTCCTCCTTCGTTGAAAGACACCCCTCAAACCACTTGCGCCCAACCCACCCAAGCCCTATTAATATATGCCATTGACCTCCCCTTTCTGAGACATTAGTAAGACTTTGTCAAGTTTTCTCTCCCTTACTGCAGTAGGTTTAATAAACTTAGCTTTGGTTAATCAACTGGCCCTTTTTTTAGGGGAGTTAAGAGTTGACAATAATAATATAGGATGTAGTGCAGAGCCTGGCATACACCACGCACTCAGTGAATGAGACAGCACAGAGTCTACTTGCACAGCTCTTACGAGAATGATGATGATACAACAAAATATTAAGCAACAGACAACAGCCTACAAAATATCCTGAGCTGAACTTGAATTTTTCCATCCCAAATATGGTATCAATGTCACGTCAAGGAGACCTTGGTTTTCTCAGTGAAGAAGATCAAAATCTAGATACTAGAGATGAATAATGAATGGTTTTACATGACTACTTAGGCTAGATCAGAGTGACCTTACAGAAGTGACCCTTGTACTGAGAATAGAAAAAGTATCTATCTTTTTTTAAAGTCATGATTCCACGTTATTTCAACTTAAGTGTTTATTTCCCCCTTCTCATAAACAACAGTTTATAATCCATTTTCTTCCTTGCGCTAATTTTGATATACCGCAGTACATTTTGTCATTTTAAACAAGAATGGGAATTATAGTATCAGCCCCCCAGAACTGGCTGCCAAGTCAACATCTGTCCAGATGATCCATCTCATTAGCATCAGGCGAGCGTCAGTCTCCCTCCAACGGAGCACCAAAGGATGCACAAGTGTCAGTCTTCCAGAGTCCAAGAGGGAGTCTCATTTAATTAACAGACAACTGAAATATAAGGAATAGAAAAAACAACAAGTCTTTGATATTGGACCTAAACTTTCTTTAGTTTTTCATTTTTATGGATACCAGTGCTATGTTTTCTGTCTAGGATAATTTTTTTTATATGAGGACATCTAATTGTTCCAGCACTCTTTGTTGAAAAGACCATCCTTTCTCCATTGAATTGCCTCTACTCCTTTGTCAAAGATCAGTTAACTATGTTTCTGTGGGCATATTCCCGGGCTCTCTATTCTGCTCCATTGATCTATGTGTCTATTGTTTTACCAATAGCATGCTATATTGATTACTGCAGTTTATAGTAAGTCTTGAAATCAGGTAATATGAGTCTTCCAACTTTGTTCTTCTTCTGTATTGTGTTAACCCTTTTAGGTCTTTTTCCTGCCCGTGCAAACTTTAGAATTAGTTTGTTGATATCTACAAAATACTTGCTGAGATTTTGATTGGGATTGTGTTGAATCTATAGATCAGGTTAGACAGCCCTGATGGTCTAGTGGTTAAGGTTTGGTGCTCTCACCACCGCGGCCCAGGTGCATTTCCCAGTCAGGGAACCACACCACCCATCTGTCAGCTGTCATACTGTGGCAGCTGCATGTTACAGTGATGCCGAAAGCTATGGCACCATAGTATTTCAAATGCCAGCAGAATCACCCATGGTGCAAAGGTTTCAGCAGAGCTTCCAGACTAAGACAGACTAGGAAGAAGGACCTGGCCACCCACCTCCAAAAAAACTGTCCATGAAAGCCCTACAAATAGCAGTGCAGCATTGTCTGATATAGCACCAGAAGGTAAGAGGATGGTGTAAAAAGATGGAGCAGGGGTCTGCTCTGCTGTCCAGTGGGTCTCCAGGAGTCAGGATCCACTAGACAGCACTATCAGGTAAATCAAGTTAGGGGGAACTGACATCTTAACAATACTGAGCCTTTCAATCCGTGAACATGGAATATCTCTCCGTTTATTTAGATTGTC